ACTGTCAGCCCTTCATTTGCTCCTCTATGGACAGCATGTTGCTCCATTGTACTTTTTTGGACACTCAATCTATATATACCTATGCACATTTTGCACATATTTTATTGTTTTTACAGTGACTATGATCTATGACTATGACTGTGCTTGTCTTGGGCTGGGCTGCTGTAACACATCAATGTCCCTTCGGGATCAATAAAGTCTTATGTATCTATCTTATCTATCTATAAGTAAGAGGGCTCTACAGTGTAAGATCAGCACTATCTGTGCTTGAAGGATCGTACAATAGAATCGGACCTGACCTGGGTTCACTCCTGCCAATGGTCTGAAAAATACTGGACTCAGAAATAACCCATAGGCGGTGATCACCTTATCACAAATAGCCACTGTGCCAAGTGTGGAAGTATTTTGTCTAGTTCTAATCCGTCTGCCTTGGTCACTAAACACCCATTCATAATTAGGGAGGTGACAGAAAATTCCTGCAAAACTGCTTGGATTCAGAGCACCACGGGCGAGACACCTTATGTGCGTCGTCTTTGATATTCTCTGGAAGTGGCCTGAGCTAACCTGGCCTCACTGAGCTGCGATCCGACTTCTTGCATCTCGGCATCACGGAAATGTAGGCCTGAGACGGACTGCATGAGCAGGAGTGCGTCACTTCAAATCTCAACATGGATCACGGCAAATTTATATACTAGTTAGTCTATCAGTTTAATTTGGGATCCTCTCATCCACTGGAAAAATGGTTGCCGCTTGACGCAAAACAAAACGGGGGCACAGGAGTAACTTTTACAGGACTAGATCAAGGTCACTTAAGCAAAGCCAGTGAAGACCGACTCACTGTCTCCTTGTCACTGGCAGCAGCAGGGGGCGCTGCAGTCGGCTCTCCCTCAGAGCTGGGGGCCGCGGCGCAGGGCTTGGTCTTCTCAAAGTCGTCCAGGGCACCTGATCAAAAACGAAAATTGAAAACCGTCAATTAGGAACAGAATCTCATCCAGTCCCGACTCAGGTCGTCTCGCCGGCGGCTACTGGGATTATTGAAACACAGACGCTGGCACACAGCTGGCAGGAGAGAAGCAGGTTTGCGAGGTCACTGTACAGCTGCAGCGCCCGAGCCGAGGGTAACTCTTCCAGTGGTCCAGCCAAACCAGTAACCAGCCGGTTCTGTTGAGAGCTGGGATGGGAACCAGCGGACACACCTCTCCTCCTGCACCAGGGATGGACCTCTCTGCTTGGGTCCCGCAGGAATTCAGCTTGAGACCCGAATTCAATTTGAAACGGCTTTATTGGCATCATGGATGAACTGAAGTGCTGTCAAAGCAGAAACAATTTACCCAACATCTACAAGAAAACTACAATGGGACATAAACAGACATCTCTTAAAGCTAACTTTCAAGACAGACGTTGAGTCTCTGCTTCAGACTGTGACAGGAGATCACATACTGGGCTACAGATCTTTTATTTTTATTGTTATTGGAGATGGTCACTGTCTGATCCTCACGCTGTGACAGGAGAT